GGGCTTGCGGCAATCACATGTGACGACCCTGGGCTGGACTCTGCTTCGTCCATGGTGAAAGCCGATCCAGCGATCCACAGCGTGAAGTTGATGTATTTCCTCAGCAACCAGCACGGATCAGCTCCAGGCATGACGAAGCGGATATCGTCCTCTTTTGGAAGGCCAAACAAAGTAGTTTCGCTTTCACAACGAAAAACAGCGTCTTCAAGACATGGCGGCGGCGGCGGCAACAACAATACTACAGCGAGAATAAAAGTTACGCCTTCTTTCTTTGCGTGAACATTTGGGCGGTGTTATGCAAATCTTCCCACATCGTGACGTAGACATGTGGGGGCGTGTTAGAACGAGCCGTTTTAGGTAGGCGTGGTTAACTCTTAACTTTTATAAAGAATATCTCTTTGGATTTGAGACTTTAGTCTTTGCAACTTTACAGATCTTCTTTATGCACCAAGAGCTTGTAACACTCCAAAGAGAAAGGAAAAATTGAAATCGCATCATATGACCCCTTTAAAAAAAAAAAAAGATGGGCCATGAATTTACACATTGCCATAAAAATGCATTGAAGACAGTTTCAAAATATTACTTTGTCACCAGTTACTGAGTCATGTGGAGTGACTCACAAAATCCATTTTTAATAGGGAATCCCTAGAGAGATGTTCAGAAATAATAAGTTAGAAATTGTTTTCTAACATTGTGTCAAATAACTGAATACCTTGAACAAAGAGCTGATTAAAAATGATGACCAGAAATGATGACCAGTTACACTCCTGACAGAAAATAAAATAAAATAAAATTCTGTAAAAAATTAAACAGTACAGTGCAACAAAATATCAACATAAAACAAAATGCAGTACTCATTTATTTATTTATATAAAAGGGAGCTGTTGACTTTCAATGCCTTAGTTTTAATTATACTTGCTGAAACAAGGATTTATTTTTGTATTTTTTGTGTTAGTGGTCAATTTCTCACTGTCATGCAATGGGCAGCTCATAACCTGAGAATGCTTCATTGAGTTCCTTACAGTACTTCAAATGTTCATGTCTGGTTTGACTTTAAGATTCAAAATCAGCAACAGAGGAGCTTCAGGGTGGTATGTACTGTCGTCCTCAGAAAAGAGACAAAAAAATATTCTGGAGCAAAAGCGGAACAAATACTGTGCAGAGGCGGGTGCTTAAGTGTATTTATGCAACATTTTTGTTAGCTAAAACCAAATCATAATCCATGTTTGTCTTTTTAAAGGAGACATAATAAGAGCATCATAAAACTGGAGTAAACAGTTATTATAGCCTAAGGAATGGGGTCTGTGGTCTGGAAAACACCACGGCTTGGCAAGAATGCCACTTTCGCCATCATTTTTCCTGTTTTTCTCCTCTTGGTTCTCTCCAGTCTTTTTTATCTGTTGATATTCTCTGCCCTGCGTTTTACCTGCTGTGATTAAAGCTTCCTAACTTTTTCATTTTCTTCGATTATGCACACACAAAGCACTAAAATTTGATATTTAGAGCCCCGAATCATCTGTTTTAGGCCCACAGCGGCCACCGCCCAACCCTTTAATACTAAAACCAGCATCAATCTCCATGTTAAGATCAGAGGTTTGTGTGTTATGATTTAGGCAGGTAAGTTTGGGTCACCTGTGGGTCGTAACAGAAAACACTGGCAAATCTTCTGCTGTGAGCCGTTCTGAGATGTGCTGCCTGACATTCATTAGCTCTCAGGGTTACACTTGAAGACCAAGAAACTTGAGAAGAAAGGAAATGATCTTGTGTTAATCTAGAGGACATCCTAGGACTAAATTAAATCATCGGGTTCTCATTGGTCACACCATAAGTAAGTCTTTGAGGTGTCAACTTCAGAGATAAACCACAATGGTACTGATGGAGAACATCTGATGTGGATAGTAACAGTAGAAATTGAGTAGACTTTCTGTTGAATTCTGCTACACTAAGATTTGTCTCTGGTATTATATTATATACACTACCTTTTAAAAGTTTGGGGTTGGTAAGAATTTCTGCCCTCTAAAGCTGTATTTATTTGATTAAAAAATACACTAAAAACTGTAATGATGTGAAATATTATTCTAATTTAAAATAACTGTTTTCTTTTTTAACATATTTTAAAATGTAATTGATTCCTGTGATGCAATGCTAAATTTTCAGCATCATTACTCCAGGTTTCAGTGTCACATGATCCTTCGGAAATAATTCTAATATGCTGATTTTCTGCTCAAGAAACATTTATTATTATCATTATTATCAAGGTTGAAAATAATTCATAAATATAACTATAATATTTTTGTGGAAACTGTGATTTTTTTCCCCCTCAGGATTCTGAAAAGAACAGCATTTATTTAAAATAAAAATCGTCAGTAACACTAAATGTCTTTACTGTCACTTTTGATCAATTTAATGCATCCTTGCTGAATAAAAGTATTAATAATAAAAAAAAACCTTACTGAACCGAAATGTTTGAATGATACTGTATTAAACTTTTATTTAGCATTATAGCATAAACATATTTTTATAATATTTCATTAATATTATTTTGCTTTATACCACTATTTATAATATTAATATTATTTGCCAATTATTAATTCAATTAAAAATGTTTTTTGTTAGTCCAATGAGTTGCTATAAAGTCACAGCTGATATAAATTTTTTCCAGCATAACATAAATTTTATATAAAGTTGAGTGCATTGCATTGTTGGATATACATCATTCCTATGCAGTGTACTTTGTAGTGCACATAGTGCATGCATGTAGAAAATTTGCATACTGCACCTTATATTCTCCCATAAATACTTACTATGCCATTCCAAAGTGTTTTCTCATATGAAAATGACAGCAATGGAAATTACAATGATAGAAAAAAAAGGCTATGTCATGCAGTCTTTCCATCACACATGGGTGCCATTAAGGGCAACTGAAGGTGACAGAAAATATCACGCCTCGTTGATTTGATCTGCCCGCGATAATGAAGATTGCTGCAAACAAATGATTTCCAGTAGATCATCAAATGAAAACAAAACTCTCTATAGTGTCAATGTTTGGATCTTGTGTTTCAGTTAATGTGAGTGTAGTGTGAGTGGCTACAATAAAAATGCTAAAGAGGCTTGATGTGGAAACAAGAGAGGGTTTAAAGAGGATCAGCTAAAAGTGGGGCTTATTCTGCAATTGGCATGAACGTTTCAAAATATGAATCACCTTTTGGACACTTTTTCTTCATCCGGCACTTTCTGCTCACAGTCTGAGGTGGGCAGAGTGCTTCTGTCTCTTCAGGCGTGTTTCTGGACAGCTCACGGGTCCTGCTCTGCTGCCCCCATCTGACACCACAGTTTAGGCCGTTGTGCTGACATGGGCTCCATTCACCCCAAAACCCAAAGATACTGAGCACACAGCCTTCTGGAGTACAAACAGATAAAGAATACTTATTCTGCGAAATAGATTTTATTTTGACTGACAGTTTTCCTTTTTTGGCGAGCTATTCCTGATCTTTATTTTCCTAATTGATGAACTCAACACTACTGAACTGAACTAAATCAACACTGAACTGACTTGAGCTGAATAATAACACTATTGTTTCTGTAGGGCTATTTTACTGCTGAAATTGCATTAGTTTTATGAATGAAGAACTGTGCAACATTAATATTGCTATTTTCATTTTTATTACTGTGAAGCAGGTTTGCATGGAAGCTTAATTCCACCGTGGGATAAAAAAAAATATAAATGTAATTGCAACTTTTTAATCAATATATAGAAACTTGCAATTGCATGAAAAACAGTCAGAATTGTGAGATTAAAAAAATTCTGTCAGGACCACTGTCGTCAAAGATAACTTACAATTAGCATGCATTTTAGGTTGGGGGTATGGTTCTGTTCTGGGCTAACACTCCCTGCCCATCTATGCAGCCTAGCATGGAAAGGAGCAGGGAGAGCATTAATAACCCCCCTAGGGTAAACAGAACAGAGCCAACATTAATGATTAATGTAGCAGATGTCATTAATGTTCTAAGTGATTATTTTATATGACAACATAATTCAGTGGTCTGACTCAATGAGAAATATCCAATGCCGAGTCCTGACTGGACGAGAGGAGGAGTTGGGGATGGAGGTGGGTGATTAGTTAAAATATACATTTTAAATATATTTTTAAAATTATGATTTAATAATAAGGCCATATTTTAAAATTATTATTATTATTATTATTATACTATTAGTATTAACTTGAAATAAATATAAAATAAACACAAATAGTATAATAATAATAATAATAATAATAATAATAATAATAAAGTAATCCATATCTTCCAAGAGGTTTGGATATTACTGATATTATATTATATATAGTATATTATATTACAGATATTACTATACAATTATTTGATATAAATGAACTATTTTCTAGGATGGACTCACTCATGCAGCGGTTGAGATCTTTGCCTCGGAGGCCGAAGTGTCCAGAGGGACAGGAGTGAACACAAGAGCCGTGGTGACTCATGCCATCTCTGTTCAGGAACAGGAAGAGGCGCTCAGAGCAGCGCAGGCAGCCATTTTCCTTCGAACACTCCTGACAGCTCCTGCAGTCCTGTCGCCAGCTCTCTGAAAAGCATTTCAAATCATTATTAGCAAACAGGAAATGTAGCATCGCAAGGGAGCGTGTCTAAGACTTGCGCACTGGGATTTATGTGCAGTCACATTATCTGACACATTACACTTTCTGCGGTGACATTTGAGGGTTTTGAGATGACATTCTAAAGGCCATAAGCCTGTATGTCATCTCTGTGGCTTCTTGAAAAGGGCCCAGCTTCTTTCTGTCACCCAACTAAACTCAAGAAGCTATTGCAGTGTGCATTTTAGCAATGCAGGATTTGAATTTTGATGTGTGCATTATCATGATTAATTGTGATGCAATCAAGACTTAAGAGTTTCTCCTGGTAGACGATATCTAGAAATCCGACCAATGCTAAAGCCAGAGACTGGAGATTGAAGCGTCTCGTCTGCGTGTGTAGTGTCACACTGAGCCACTGGAGAGGGTTTGCAGGGGGAGATGTGAGGAAACTGCCAGATGATTCTGATCTTCATGTCCTTCATTAGGGAAATAAAGAGAGACACCACTGTCTCAAAAGACGTCGTTGAGCCAAGCAGAGATGCTTCCGCTGAGTTCTCATCAATATATTGTTCACTATTTTCTGCATGGATGTCAATCAAATGAGACTGAGAAAATATACAGATACTTCTACAGCACTTTTGGGTGACTGAATGTGCTCTGAGACGCTGTATTGACCTGAGAAAAGTCTGTGTGTTTTTGCTCTGTAGAACATCTCTATTCTTGATTTTATTATTATTATAATTTTTTTTTTTAACTTTTTTATTTGCAGGTTTTACAAACAAATTAGTCCTAGTTTGTATAGATACATAACTGGTAAGTTATATAAAAATAAAGAGTAGTTGAAAACAAGGGTTTCAGACAATTTTGCAATTTAATTCATTTGCTTGTGCTTTTACGATAGATAGATAGATAGATAGATAGAGAGAGAGAGAGAGAGAGAGATGCAGTATATGTAGAATATAACCATCTTTGATTTAATTTCAAGCTTTCAAGCATAACATGAGGGGGTTTTAGTCACTCTTGTCTTCTGAGGAAAAAAAATCAATACCTAAAGCAACACATACTGAGGCAGAGTAAAGTCTCAGCCATCATAAATTAGATCTAATGCTTCGTGACTATTCTGGAAAATCAGTGGTAAATAAACTGACAGATCTTGCTGCAGTGCATCAAGATTTATTACCAACTGGTCTATATTTCAGTCTTGTTCTGCTGAAAATATGCACATAAATATGATCCACACGGTGTACACACCTAAAGCCTCATCACGGATAATACATCGTACGCGTTGACTTTACAACTGTCAGTCGATACAAGATAAAGGCAATACCATTTTAATTTTTTTTTCCCCATTTAGATTGCAGGTATAAAGTTTCAGAGCATCACTGTAACACTTTCATTTTTTATTTAATCTCTAAAGTGTTTTCTAAAGCGAAATTATAATCTCTTATAATTATCTTATTTCAACAGGATGCCAAATCACAACAACTAGAACAGAAATGTGCCATATTACAATTCTAAGCTTCAAATAGCCAGGGAAAATCACTGTAACACACAGCCTCAAGTAACTTATTACTGTCATTAAATGGTGACAACGTGTTCAATAAATATGCATATATTTAATGAAACAAAATCAAAATATATTACGGTTGCCAAGTATCCTCACTTTATAATTTTACTAATAATCACACACCTGTCTATTCGCATAAATCACATCTATTTAAACCAATTTGAATCTGGCTCATCCAATCAGATATGAGAGTCAGAACTATTCTTTGCATGAAACAAAGCAACATTTGTGTAAACATGCAATCTCTGGTATTGGTACACATTTTGAAATTACCATAACAAAAAAGTACCACGGCACAAGAATTTCACTACCATGCTTCATATAGAAGAACTTGAAGAATACCATGGTACAATCTCAGAAAAAAAGATATAAAAGTGTGTCTTATTTACCCCTAAAGAGTACACATTAGTACCTTAAAAGTACATTTTGGAACCTAAATGGAAAATTTGAGCAAGTTTTAAAAAGGTACCGCCCCAGTGATAAACTTTGTACCTTTTTTCTGAGAATGCAACATGTCCATAAACTATAGCATTTGGTACTTTTTGTAAGTGTATAGTTGATTATTTTGCAAATAAGCATTATCATTTAAAAGTAGATATGATCTTACCACTTTGTTTTCTCGCAGCTAACGTCAATATAAGCGTCTGACAAACAAGGGAGAGGAGAGCCAAAAGTTGCCAATGCATCTGGACAAGAAACAGGTTCTGTAACATCTGCCTGAAAGACTGTCTCGGAAAGAGAGCCGGCCTCCTCTCTGCCTCATGGAAACTCATGGTTAACAGCCTGATGCTCACCCTGCCCACGTCACCTGATCTCCACCAACATCTGTCCAATTTACCTTTCAGCTGTTGAGTAATTGTGCTCGTTTCAGGATGTTGTATTGCGTGTATTCCACCTTTAATGTCGCTTACCTGAGGCAGAACTCCACTTTTGACCTTTCTGTCAACCCACAATTTTAGCCTGACTATTTCATCCCTCTATATTTAGATGGTTTAGAAGATCTGGGTTTATTTTTCCAAACACAGTGGAACACAGATTGCAGTTGGCTGTGGTTGTGGCGCCCTGGATCGTGCAGATCTCCTTCCTGTTCTCCGCAGCTTTGAGGTCGGGGTTTGTTTATTTTATCATATAAAGTTGAGGGTATCATTAAAAATCTGTGGAAAAAAAGAGCGAAAAGAGTGAGCGTATGAATATATATATAATACATCTTGTGACTTGCCATCTGCAGTTTTTCATGGGGCTGTCTTAACAAACAGCAAATGTTTCACAAAAAAAAAAATGCAAGAATTAGACTGAAAAATGAGCAGATATAAACAAACAAACAAACCAGTGAAAACAGCTTTCATGGGTAATTGGGCTACTGTTCCTTCCAAATATTATTAAGAGGCTGTTTACAACATGCTTTAGAAGTCCATTTGTACGTAGTTTGATCTTTCTTTCAGTTTTCTCCTCACTGCTTGCATAAGTTCTCCATTTCAAGTGCATTTGTTTGAAATCAAAATGTAAAAATTATTGATACCTAATCAAATATTGATATTGATAAAACTGTTGACATTTATTTAATGCCAAGATTTACATTAAAAATGAATAATTAACAAGAATTAAGTCATGCATGCAATCAATGGTACTTCGAAAAATTTAAAACACTGTAGTACCATGATGGAATCACTAGTACCATGGTACCATGTTAGTGTATTTATGTTCCCTTTCATGGGAACTTCGAACTGCGTCCTCTAGGTTTCTCCATAGCGACCCCTAGAGGACGCAGTTCGAAGTTCCCATGAAAGGGAACATAAATACACTAACATGGTACCATGGTACTATCATGGTATTTGCACAAAAACATGGAAGTACACCAGTACTGTGATGATATCACATGATAGGTCTTACCGTGGTATACCTACTATGGTTTTGGACCATAGTACTACAATGAAAGGGAATATTCATAATATTTCATATGGTACTTCAATATACTTATTTCATGGTATTCATTCCCCCCCCCCCAAAATAGGTATGTAGTAGTAAAATATGGTATATTTTTTAAAAGTGATATCACATGATAGCCCTTGCAAATCAAATATCAAAAAGTACTGTGCACCATGGTACAATTACTATAATACTAAGGTACTAAAAATCATGTACCATGGTATTTATGGTACTCCAACAGGGTATTTCCAAAAAATATGGTACATGTCTAGTAGTAATGGTATGTTTTCGTAGTTTTTGTAAGTGATGTAAATTGCATGGTACATGAATATGGTAAAAATGCATTACTGTGGTCATATTTATCAATCATAATTATCCTTACAAAAAGTACTGTGATGTATCGGATGGTATATGTCAAAGTACCATGATATTACCATCTGATGCCATTACTGTACCATGGTATAGGTGTGACTTTGGTAATATTGTTCTAATCGAGAACAACCAAAGCCTTGTGTCCTGCACACACAGGCTGACATCACAAACCCAAGGTTATGAACTCTCGAATCGGCTCTGTGTTTGATAACCGGGCCGAAAGAGCATGGAGGGGGGATAGGCGCCGTTGCGCTCATGACATCCCGCTAAATATGCACCAGATGCGGTGGGTAAGGTACTGGCCTTTCAGAGGCACTACACATCTCTGTTGTGCTCTCTTCCATTCAGTGTAACTCCACTGGATTCAAAGCTCGCTGTCGGCCTTGGGTCTGTTGTGATGTCGGGGAGCCCACTTCCCTGCTGCTTCTCATTTGCTGGATTGTCTCTCTGGCTTCCTTTGAGGCTGTTATGGATGGACTGAGACGGGCAGCTCTCCTCCACGGCCTTGACGTGCCTGGTACTCAATCTAATCAGAGGATAAAGACACAGACATACAGATGCGTAAAAGATATTACATAGCTACCGTTCTTTTTTTCCAAAAAGGATTTTAGCTTTCAGCATGTCTTTTAACATCTGTAAGGAGTCAAATCACTTTTCCCTTTACCATTTCCTTTGACAGAGATCGTGTTTTACATAGGACTGCCAAACTGCGTCATTATTTACTCACCCTCATGTTGTTCCAATTCAGGATGAAACAAAATAAGATGTTTTGGAGAAATGCGCAGCTCTTCTCCATGAAACGATAGCTTATTGTGACCTGTCAAAGCTCCAGAAAGGACAAAAAAAAGCATCAAAAGGAACCATAGAAGCCACTGTGCGGCATACAAGTGAAACAATTTTTTGTATGCGCAACATCACAAAGTTTTGTAATTTTTAAAAAGAAGAAAAACTATTTCCCAAAGGGAGAAAAATTCAAAACACATTCTTTAAAATAAATAAATAAATACATTTTATTACTTTGTTTCGGAAGATATTTTATCTTGTTTTAAGGATGATTAGATATTTAAACTTTACATTTTGATTAGATATTTAAACTTTCAAATTTTCACAATAAGAGAAAAATATTTAATAAAGATATATTTTCTAAAAAAACAAGTAGAAAATAAGCTATTTTTCTTTTCAATATATTTTAGCTTGTTTTTAGATATTTTTTCTTCTACTGGAAAACAAAAGATTTAAAAAATGATTTTACAATGCAAGTTGTTATGTATGCAAAATCCAACTTCCGCCAAATGTAACGTTTTTATTCCTCGCAGGATGATTTATTTGCCTCTGCCAAAAAAGTCAAATCTGCTACTGACTTTTAAAGTGGTAGTTTCATTTAACACTGACCTGGTCACCTTCTTGTTTCCCTTTAGCCTGAACTCATTCATCAGTTCACCTTAACTGATGACTAACACTCTAAAATCTGCAGGTCTAGAGTGGAGAATGTACGTGGAATGCATGAAACATTCCTTCAGTATTGCACAGATGGCATGTGGGAGTGAGTTTTGAAGACATATTTCTGAAGCTGATTAAAATGTAATGTTTATTATTGATATCCTTTTGATTATCAATTTGATTCATAAATGTCAGACATTTCCAAACTGAACATTTTAGCTAACAGCCTTAGTTTAATAGACAGTTTAGCTAATTGACAGGTTGAAGAGGAGTATGTAACGGTCTGTCTGTAAAAGAGAAAGACAAGAAGTGGAGACTCACTCTGAGGTGCAAAGAAAAGAAGTTCAAGTATTCACAGACTTTAGCTCAGATATATAAAGTAGCAGGGCATCTCAAACGAGGACCATATGCTCCACCTGGACTGTGTGTAATGTGCTCAACAGGACAAGAGCAGCCAAAGCACGCTAACAACATCTCATACTTGGCATGCAGACCCTCATCTCTCTATCTATCTAACCTCTATCTATCTAACATTGTATTTTATAGTTGCGTGTGTATTTTTAAGGCATGCATTCTTTGGTAATGTTTTATTTTTACTAAAATTCTATTTGCAATCACACTATTATAATTTTGTCATGCAGTAAAGCCTTTACTAACTAACCACAATTTATAGTTACAGAAATGTTTTTGTATCTAAACTTCTGCAGATGTCCGGAACGATGCTTGAAAAACAAAATAATTAAAATAACATAATTATTTAAATAAAATGAAGTAAAATAAGACAAAATAAATAAAATAAAATATGGAAGGACTAACTGTCAGATGACTCTTCATAGCATTTTATTTGGCTGTTTTATCACGTGACTCGTTGTTGTGTTGTGATAAGTAGCTTCATGGAGCTGGTCTGGCTTTGATGTGCAACTGAATAGCTCGTTTTTCATGATAATGATGCATCAAGTCTGGACCTCATTAGGTAACCATGCAGCTGAAAACCTTCACACATGGTGGCCTTACTGTTAGACAAACCTGAACCTGTGTGGACCAACCTACTGAAACTATGAGCCCTTATTCTCTGTATGTGATCTGAAGTCAACATGTGCCTTCAAGACAGCTGGCTCCAGAGCTTCATACCTATCAGGCTTATAGAAAATCCTCAAGACTTTGAGAACTGAACTCATCTAATCTTTCCAAGCTGAAGACCTACAGTCTTTAACATGGCAATGTAAACACCTGTTTCTGGTTTTCCTGCATGTCTGTTCTCTGTGGCGAGAGGAAAAACGGACAAATGCTAGAGTGTTGTGGGTGGTTACTAGGACGTTGCTATGGAGGGATTTTAGCCATTTGCAATGATTCTACAGCAAGCAGGTGGTCACGTTGGTTATGTTGACGGAAGTTAGCCTATTTTCAGGCGCTGCGTATCATTGCGCCTGCATCTATGCTAAGCTACAGCTAAAAGTGCTACCGCCAGACCCAGAGATCGGCTGAATGGATTCGAAAACGGTAAAACTCAACTGTTTAACTCTAGGGGAGTTGGAAAATGAGCCTATTTTCAAAAATAGTGGAGTGTTCCTTTAAGGTTTGTCTGTAAATTAAGGTGTTTGTATGTGAAGGACGTTATGGGCTGCTTTGGGACTTTGAGGGCGAGTTTTGTGTGTGTGTGTGTGTTTTGTAGGTGTCAGCTCATGTCCTCTGTCTTATTTAATATTTAGCAGCGTGAGACCTGCGAGAGCTCTCACTGCTGGGCTGTGTCTATTTTTTGAAGCAATGAGGGTTTTGTGTGTCTGGTGCTGCAGACTGTGGATTGAGAGACTGGGTGAGAGATGCCCAGAGATGCATCACTTCCATCAAAAACAGCCAGTTTGGGGGATTTAGAAAAGTCTGCTTGGTTGAAACCCACTCAAACATTTATATATTTACTAGAAAGGAGCCGTGGGAGATGGCGGCCTGCGTTCTGACCTGATTCTTTCACCGTTATTTCCTGTTTTTTTCTGCAGTCTCTATCAATAAAAATAGGATAAAATAGCAAGAAAGAAGAGAAAAGAGAGAGACTGCAGAGTGGGGTCCTTAAGGTCATGGCAAAAACCCAGAGATGGATTTAGGTGTTTGTCTTTCACTTCCCCTTCCTGGGTTCACAGTGACCCCTATCAGATTCTTTATGATGTCAGCGATTTATCGACTTGCTGTTGCTGTGGGCAATGTGATGTAATTCGGTCAAACATGCTCTGCTGCCAGCACTGTCTCGAGTTAAAGCCAAAGTGTCTGTAGACTTTCAAAGCACCGAGCGGAGTCACACTGACAAATGTTGTGCCACAACACGCACTGGATAGATACTGAAAAACCAATCAAACAAATCCTCAAAAATAATGATCTTTGATGTTGTTAAAAACTGTGTCTTTGGCTGTTTGCATTATTCTGTCATTTTATAGCATTGCATGATGCAAAAATGCCACAAATGCTATATTATGTATGTGTGTGTATATATACAGTCATTCAAAAGTATGGGGACAGATGTTTTTTTCTTTTTCTTTTAATGAATAAATGTATAAAACTAACACTTTTATTCAGGAAGGATGCATTATATTGATCTAAAGTGAGTGTAAAGACATTTATAATGTTACAAAAAATATATTTCTGGTGAATGGCATTCTTTTTAACTTTCTATTCATCAACGAATCCTAAAAAATGCAGGATCATATGACATTGAAGACTGAAGGAATGGCTGCTGAAAATGCAGCTTTACATGGCAGGAATAAATGTAATTTTTATAATTTATAGTTATTTGAAATTGTAATAATATTTGACAATATTACAGATTTTACTGTATTTGTGATCAAATATATGCAGCCTTGGTGAACATAAGAAACTTTTCAAAAACGTTAAAAAATCTTATATATTATGTATATATTTACATGTGTGTGTATATATATACAGTATATACATATATATATATATCACCGTCACAACATTTAACTAACATTCAGCTAACCAGCAAACAGAATATTAAACCAGAAAATACTGATTTAATACAGAAAACACAGGACAGCTAAAAAATAATTTCAAGAAAAATTTTGAAAATGTTAAAATGCAAAAACTACAGATGTAAGACTTATTTTCAATATAGTGTAAAAGAAAGCTTCTGAAATGTCTTTCTTTGTGTGTTGTTTTCTTAGGCCTGACCCGATGGCTCCATTTGCCGCTGGCGGTGCCGATCTGGACCCTTTCGGGTGAGAAATCCCATCAATTATTTGTCAAAACAGTCATCTGTAAATGCATCATGCATGTTGACCTGTAGTTTACAGATGTTTTTTGGTGATGCACCGAGTATTTGTAGATCACCCTTACGTAGAAAAAAAAAACAGCTTGAAAAAGAAAAACTTGTTAGGCTTTTTAGAATAACAGATATCAAAGAACATTTAAGAACTCGAATGAATAAGTGCACCTTCAAGGAACGACCGTGCTCACTGAATTATTGATAGTTCTTGTTCTTGGCTCTTTCTCCAGGGGAAGAGCAGGAGGGATGATCGTCGATCCATTACGTGCCGGGTTTCCTCGCTCAGGGTTTGACCCCTCCTCTGGTATTCCTGGAGTCCTTCCCCCTGGTGCTGTGCCTCCTGGTGCCCGCTTTGACCCCTTTGGGCCGGTTGGGCGACACAGACCTGGGTAAGAGCTATAATGGGATCTTTACAGTCTGAGTTCAGTTGTTAAACTGCCATTACCTCATTTGACCTCATGTCCTCACCTCTGATGGCATTTGTTTTGCTCTACCTTTCAGGCCAGACCCTGATCACATGCCCCCACCAGGATATGACGACATGTTCATGTAGATGCACTAATATCCCATAGTTCTCGCTGCTCTGCAGTGATATGCACTTTGTGTTTGAATAAACTGGGTTGTGGTGAAACATAATTACTCTTAATAATTCTGTTACAGAATTATTATTAAAACAATAACATAATTGGTTATTTTGATATTGCCAAAAAAATAACAACTGATAATTCCATTTTTGTCTGATTGTGTTCTTCCTGGTTGCTCTTTTTTTGCTACTGACTCGTGCTGCAATTCTATATTAAACTGCTTTTATTCAATCCCATGTGATTGATATTTTTCTGATATTAAAGACTGTTAATCTGCCTGACAGACAATAATACATTTGAAAACAACTTCATTAAATAAGGGACCTCGGCCATATACTATTATAGTTTTTCTGAATATTCAATATTGTTGTGTTTTGTCATTTTTAGTTTTTTTTTAAATAAATTAATACATTTTTATTACTCATTTTTATTTAATATGTTTATTTATTTTAGTACTTCAAGTTAAACTAAACAAAAATGATAAACGTTGCTTTTGCAACTATAAGTTGAAATTAAATAAGTTTGTTATACACTGTTATTTCAGTTATCATTTATTTTATTTCAAGTACAGTTTTCTTGTCTGTGGATTTAGGTTCAGTTAATAATCACTGCTTAAAGGTGAGCTTTTTTGATATTGACCATCCAAGCAACCACTCTGGTGAACTTTTGCTTGGTAACCACCGATCACATTTTTTTTTCTTTCAAAAGAGTAAAAATATAGATCAATTGTGTCATCTGAAATGTTACAAGTGCTTAGATTTGTGTGAGGACTTTTCAGCTGCACTGAACTTGCTCTCCAGTCTGTTTAAAGTATCAGTAGATGAAAGCAAAGCTTCTGGAGATGGTGGCTTCAGTGAGAGGGACACCAGCAGCAGATGTAGTGGAAATCAATGCCTGTAATGGCCACAGTGAGTCATGATGACCGCAATGTCAATGTGACTGTCCTCTACTGCCAGAGCTAAAGACACTCTCGAGTGTCCTCTAAACATGACTGCACTAAAATCACTGAGAATTAAGTGACAATTGGTTTAGGGAATTTAGAAGATATAGGACTTTTAGTCACGATAAAGTGCTTCACATTTAATAGGAAAATGTGCACCACAAAGTGCCTAAATACACCATTTGAAACCATTTTCACTCAGGAATTGCTAGTCAATTTCACAAATAATTAGAGAAACGGCATGACACATTGAATTAAATGTGAAATTTTGAAGAAGTAGGATTAATGTGCTCCAATAATCCTTGTTTCATTTCCAACTTAAAATAATTTTAAAGGGGTCATATGATGTTGCTAAAAAGAACATTATTTTGTGTATTTGGTGTAATGAAATGTGTTTATGCGGTTTAAGGTTAAAAAAACACATTATTTTCCACATACTGTACATTATTGTTTCTCCTCTATGCCCCGCCTTTCTGAAACGCATCGATTTTTACAAAGCTCATCGGTCTGAAAAGCGAGGTGTGCTCTAATTGGCCAGTTATCCAGTGCGTTGTGATTGGCGGAATACCTCAAGCGTGTTACGGAAATGTTATGCCCCTTACCATATTGTGATGCCGTGTCCCATGAT